GAGCCTGTTAGGGAACCCACTCCAGTATCTGTAAGAGAACCCACACCAGAGCCTGTCAGGGAACCTACACCAGAACCTGCAAGAGAACCCACACCCGAACCTGTAAGAGAACCCACACCAGAACCTGCAAGGGAACCCACACCCGAACCTGTAAGAGAACCCACACCAGAACCTGCAAGAGAACTTACTCCAGAGCCTGTCAGGGAACCTTCACCAGAGCCCGTAAGAGAACCAACACCAGAACCTGTACAAGAACTAATTTCACATCAAGAAGAAGAACCATCCCCCGAGGCATCTGTAGATCTCCTGTCTGACCCACCAGCAGAGGAGGAGGCAGAACCAGTCCATGAAGCAGTGTGTGGTGTTCAGCTCCCTGCACAGATAGATCCTTTCAAATTTGAGGAGCCTGCCAACGACTCCCTGGGTACTACCGTCATGTCTCCTCCTTGTTCCCCACAAGGCCCTGCTTCTCCTGTCAGAGACCAACAGAATGCCTACTCTCTCCTGGGCACCCATGTCCACTCTGATCCCTGGAACATAAACCAAAGCCCAAGCAGTATGATGAACTTCCAGAGAGAAGAGGAACAGTGCCAGCAGTTTGAGGCTCAGGAGACACAAGAGGAGGAAGAGGACGAAGAGCAGGAAGAAGAAGAGAAGGAAAACTTGTTTATGCATACCCCCGCAGCTCCCGAGGCCTTTAATAACACAGTGCAACCTCACTTATTGGGTGCCTCCCCTCTGGATGATTTCAGCCCCAGAGGCCTGATCTCTCCTCATGAAAAGGAGGAGGCCGTGGAAAAGGCTGATGAGGAAATCAACGAGGATGATGATGAGCAAGAGGATGATGATGATGAAGAACAAAGGAGACTGGGCTATCAGCCTTCGTCTTTGATCACTGACATGAGCACGTCTCAGCTCTCTGACGACTTCCAAGTGCGCTCCTCTGCCTTTGGAGGTTCAACAGGGTGGCACGGTGACGACTTGCTGTCTGGGATGGACTCCGAGGATGTGAGCAGCTGCACCAGCAGCCGACAGCAGGGGGTCTCAGACCTTAGTAGCACCCAGCATACCGCAATTCTAGAGGGCACCCAGAGTTCAGATGCCCTGGTTGACACTAGCCTCCGTGGTTCTGAGGGAGATGGTAACCTCATGGGTTCTCCCAATGTGGAAACCCTAGCCAATGAAGAAGAGGACGAGGATGATGAGGATGAGCGGGTAGACGATATGGATTTGAGCTCTGAGAGGGTAGACGAACACCATAAAGTTTTCCAGGAGCAAGGGCAAGATGAGGAAGAGGATGAAGATGTGGAAATGCGCAGTGAAGGAGTGATGGAGAGCTGTGAGAATGAGGATGACTTTAATGAGGAGGCACATTTAGATAACCTCAATCAATCGGGTCCTCCGCCCTCCATCCCTGCATCCTCCTGGGGCCAGACCAACCCCTTCTGTGATACCTGGGCTCAGCCAGCCTCACTGCTCTCCGTCTCCTCCCCCAGCCCTGTGTCCGACCACGGTGCTGCTGAGTCTGAAGCGCCCACCCAGTCTCCTGCCCAGGCATGTTTGGATGTCAGCGCCCCATCCTTTGCTCCTGAGATGGAGCAAGAAACCAACCTTCATCAGTCATCATATGAGGAGACGAAGGGCTCAGTTCTTGCAGAGGCTCCCACCCTACTTGCTGCCCCACCTGTAGGCATGTCCCAGTCCAGCACTCTAAGCGGCACGGCTCTGGCAGCCCAGAGTAGCAGCGAGACAAGCACACCAGAGGAACTCCGTGACTATGACAGCAGCTCTGGAGTCGAGTCCCGCTCTGACAAGCAGCAGACCCCAGTGCCTGCTTCGGTTCAGCCTGACATGGAGCAGGATCTCGGTATTCACTTAGAAAAAGGCGACGGAGAAGAGGAGGAAGCCGAGACGCTCCCCGCCGACGAGGTCCTGGGCACCGGACCCCCAACTGCTCCTGCATCCGCCCCTTCTTCCCCTTCCACCTCGGGAGACGAGGCCAGCGATACAGAAGGGGAGATGCAAATAAATGACCCTGAAGCACCCATGATGGTAGATGAAAGTGCCGGGTTTGAGAGTCCTCCTCAGACGTGTAGCCTGCCCGCTCTCGAGGAGGACGAAGAGGCTGCGGACACACCAGCTGGGGAGGGTGAGGAGGATGGGGGCGGGGCCACCCCTCAGTCAGCCAATTCTGTAGCGTCTTACGGCTTCGACTGCACTACATCCAACTCCAACGCCCACTCCATGGCTGAGAGCTGCGGGAAGAGCCCTGGAATCTTCTCCTTGGAAAACGAGGAGCAGCTGCCAGAGGAGGCCAAAGACCCCTCCCTCATCAAGGAGCTGACGCTGCCACCAGCTGCCACCTCTGCCCTTGCAGAGGACCTGCTGGGCAGATCTGTGGATCTGATGCCTTTGGGTCACCCGGAGGACAACCATCCCAGTCTAGATGACCACCACTACATGCTGGGAGGGAAGATTGCAGCAGACCAGCTGGAGGACATCGATCCAGTCGAGGCCGAGGAATCTGGAGGCACCGGCGACAACCAGGCATCCTACTACTCTACCATATCTGATAAGACTGATAGTTTTCTGGCAGGTAACGTATAAGTCCCTCCTGTTACCCCCCGGAATGCACCTTTTCCCTGCAACCCTCCCCCTTTTACCTGTTTTCTTCTTTTGTTTTCTCTCCAATTGGGTTAGATGGTTAGAAGAAGAAAAAAAAAGGAGAGCAAGATTGTAGGAAAAAAGATTTTAAAAAAATGAACAAAGGAGAAGGAAAAAAAATGACTGTAGCAATTTTTAAATGAAGCCTCCCTCTTTCATACTGTTATGGTCACGGTTATGAGTGTATGGCTTAACTCCATTTTTCTAGTAGGATGTTCTTTTTAAGTAACCCTGCTTATTCTGTAGCCCCTGATGGGGTATTGACTGATTGGTCCAATGTGACTGAGCTTTTAAACCGAAAAAAGGAAAAGGAAAAAAAAAAGACAACACACAGACGGAATAATATGGACTCATTGTGTATTTATCCTACTGTTTTTACCAATCAAATGTCAATGATTTTTGTTGTTGTTTTGTATTTGCTTATTTTTTGGGTTTTTTTTGTTTTGTTTTGGTTTCTGTTAAAACCTGGTCCTCCCCTTCCCTGTGTACACACACTCCATGTTCAACAGCACCATAGCGATAGTCGCTTTTTTCTTTTATTTGTTTGTGTTCTGCTTTCAAGACTTTTAGCTATCAAAATAAAGGCTAGATATTAACACAGCAGGTTTCATTTTGCCGTTACGGATTAGTTGAAGTAGGTGTGTGTGCGGGCGGGGGGCGGTCAATAGATTGCAGTTGGTGACGCTTTTAATGTGTGCTTCAAGAGGTTCTACTGCTCTTTGCATAGGTTGTTAAGGTATATAACGTGCAGTCACGTACGGTATGTGTTTCAGGCGTTTGGTTAAGTGGCTTCAAGCTTCGAGCCTCAGTTAGCAGATCATTTGTGTTCCAAGAAGAGACTAACGGCTAGCCTTTTTATTCGTGATGAGACGCTACATAAGCTCCACATCACAGCTTTACACTCTCTGAAACCTTTTCATAGTGGGCGTTTGGTTTACTATTTCAACAGTATATTGCATGTTTAATTAACAAAGACTCTGTACTACCTGGAAATTTGCAACAATTCTACACTAGACATGATGTTCAGAAATGAATGGTTCACATTAGGTTATCTTTCAAAATTCCATTAAAACATCATTGCAAGGCATTTTTGTTCCTGTTTCCTTTTTTCCCTATGGATCCGAGCATGTCTGAACTCGTCTCCTTGTGTTTGTGTGTGTGTGTGTTTATGCAACAGTATTTCCCAAGTGGCGTCTCTTATTCTTCGCCATGGGAACTGCTGTTAAACAGGAAGTGATGTGGCCGTTGTTCAATGGTGTTGTGTCTAGATGGAATTTTGGTCAAAGTAAAAAGGCGATCTAAGATCTTCAGCACGCTTACACCTTTGTCAACTTTTCAGATCCGCCAACACAATGTTCAGCGCACTCTCTCTCTGACAGGCAGTGCTCGCTTAAGGTTCTTGTAAACAAACAAAGCTGTTCTGTGAGAGACGCATTTGTCACACCTCAAAAACATTTAAATGGATCTATTATGATTTTCCGTCACATACACACTGTCACACACTGGTGGATGTTCACATTAAACATGGCCACAGTATTAAGTATGGTCAGTAGAAGCATTCTAAATACTCTGTTTCAGATAGTTTTCTACTCCTAGAGCTGTATAATAACCTCAAAATATACTTTTCCTTAATATGACCTTAATATGTTCACGTCAGGCTTACAGCTCTGACTTGGCACAGAAGCCCCACCGAAAAGCAGCAGCCAATCAGAAGAAGGTCAGCTTAATGGGACTCCTACACTACAAACAAGCATTTAAGAAGATCGCTTAAAGTTCCTCTTCCTCCTCGTCTTTGCACAATCACATTGCTACACTTCTTGTCACATTGCCACCATCAGTTGTCACAGCTGTAGTAGCAGATTGTACCCATTGTTTCACAAAGATAAAGGGGCCCAGGCATGAATTCATCGGGCTACCAGTGCTCAAAAACTGTACAGAAATTTTAAGCATCATTTCTGATTATTCTCCCTCCTGCAGTAATGCACAAGGGGGGGGGGGTGGCGTCTCTGCTCTTTATTTACATACATGCCAAGAAGCCCCCCACCTCCAGAAAAACCACTTATGATGAACATGACATTAAGTCAGCTGTGATATAAACTGGGGAGGTGGAATGGAGGTGGGCTGCAAAGAAGCTTGCAGGTATAAAACAGTTGGATGACTCGTGCTGCTTAAAATGCAGGTCCAGTTTGAGTTTAGCCAATCAGATGCGCAGAAGGGCATGAGGTGAATCTGCTACACATGCAGATATAAATAGTACCATCTCCTCTCTGGTCTGGCCTCATGCTCTTCCTTGAAACCCTGACCGGAACATACCCCACAGCACACAGCTGTAGCTTAGATGTCTCTAAAATACCAGCTTTTGTCATTTCCTAAACACTAAATTTACATTCATGAGACCATGAACGACTTGATTCAGGTTTGTGCTTCCCTGACTTGGTGATTATACTTCAGTGATTATACCGTTTCTTCTACCGTACACTGAAGTTACTTTTCCACATGATTAAAACCACACATTATCTTGATATGATCAACTTCCTGTGATTATATTTTTTATCAGTTCTATCCCATGTGCCCGTTGTCTGTACTCTACTGTGAATCACATATATGACCACTGTCCTGCATGACAGACATCATGTTCCTGAGAATGACACCTCAAATGTGAGACTGGGATTTTGGTGCAGACTACTCAACCTAGTGGTCCTATATGAAACAAAGGTGTGGCATTAGAGGAAACATGTTGCACTGAGTGTTGTGTGATGTGTTTCATTGTACCGGTTTGTAGCTGCGGTGTTCAGCATCCTCTATCGCTTTTATTTTGGAAGCCCCTTCCCTTGTTTTTTGTTCCTTTTTTTTTGTTACACCTTTTTACATTTGTGTCAGATCTCTCCTCCTTCCTGGCCCCTTGTTGTACCACCCGTTCTGTTTGATGCATGCATCTATAACGGATGCACCAAGTGATCTTGACTGTCCCACAGGAGATTGGAAGAGATATGAAGTGGATGAAGCTCACAGATGGCAAAAACACTCACAGGAAGACAACCAGAACCAGAACCACACTGCTGCAGCTCCCATAGCGAATGGTCACTACTTGGCAATGGTCCCGGGCAACAGGAGGCCCATTGATCCGACTCTTGCTGCCCATTTTGCCAAAATTGCTCCCCCTCCATCTTTGACCGGTGCTGCTGCTGATGGTCACGCTGGCGGAGAACAGCTGAAGAGGCTGGAGCAACACCAGGAAAAGCTGAGGGAGATGCAGCAGCGCCAGGTGCAGGAGAGGCAGAAGAGGCAGTGGCTGGAGGAAGAGCGTCTGAGGCTGGAGCAACAGAAGCAACTGGAGAAGCAGCGCAGGGAGCTCCTCCAGCTGCAGCTGCAGCAGCAACAGCAGGAGCACCGCCACCGCAGGCAGGTCCTGCAGTGGCAGCTGGAGCTGGAGCAGCAGTACCGCATGCAGCAGAAACAGATCCAGCAGCAACAGCAGCTCAGGAGGAGCCCGACCGGAGTGATGCTCTCCCCTTCCTCGGGGCTCTGCACCATCTACGAAGCCATGGAAACCAGCGACGAGGAGGACGAAGCCAGAGGGGAGGTGAGAAGGAGGGGGCGGTCCATCCACCGGCAGCAGCACCTGCGCCCGGTGCCCCCACAAGAACTGGAATGGAATAAGAAGGTGGACATGGTCCAGCAGCTCATCAACCAGACCATGGTGCTGTCTGGTGATACAGACTGCCCTCCGCTCCTCCTCCTCCCTGTGGGGACCGGGGGCACCCTAAGCCCCCTGGAGAGCAGCATGTGGCCCAGTTTGTTTCCCCAGTTCAGCCCTCCTACCGCTACAGTCACATCTGTCAGCAGCTACTCCCCAGACAGCCAAGGCAGCTCCCCAATCAGTGACTGGACTGTGGTCGAGGTGGAGACCCATCACTGAACAAGGGAGGCGGAGAAGCACATCAATAAATCGGTGCGAGGAACAGTTTCACATATTTACGAATATCTGTTTTTAATTTTTGGCACAGGGTTAGGTGAGAAGATTGATACGACTCTCACTGCTGTTCAGCTCAGTCGAGCCACAGTTATTCTAAGAAATTGAAATCTACTGGCAAAGATGGAGGGAAATGTATCCAAATAAGCTCACAAATAAATCTGTATGGAAGCAAAGCACAAAGACGACAACTGACCTTTATTTGATGGGGTTAAACGGTCCCCTCCTGTGTGATGAACTGCTGACACCAGGATTTGGTGTGGATTTCTGGAGGCTCTGAGTTCATGTGATGAGGTTCACCAATGGGAGGGGCTTGGAACACAAATAGGAGAGCTGCAGGAAGCATTTTCTACATACAGCCACACACCAGAGCCAAAAGGGTGATATTGATCTACTCGTCTAATGCTGTGCCAAAATCTCACGCTGTTATTCATGAGCAGCGTGCATCATACGACTGAACTCCTCTCACAGATCTGATCTGCTTAATTTAATGTGCCATCGTTAATGAAGCCATACGAGAATTTCACGGTTAAGCCGGATACTTGATTTAACCATAAGACCATACCAACCTGGTCTTCAACAGATGTCATTACTTGTAGTAGAACATATTCACTGTAGATGACCCCATGTAATTGATTACTGTAACCCAGACATGCATACTGTCATACTGTCGCCTCACATTAGAGCATGTTCTCCTTACCAGAAGCACTTAACATCTGTCCTCAGCTGTCTTACTCTGAAATGCGCTGGATCTACTTTAGCAGCCCTGTTGTCTCTTGTGTCGTGTGGGTGCAGCGCTCCACGTTGTTGTCTCTCTTGTATCTAGACCAAACACTGGTCGCTCTCTCAAACGAGAGACTGAGCTATGACAAATTGCACTGGTTTTCTACCGTTGTTTATTCGCTGTTATGGTCTTTGCCAAAGTATTTATACAGGTAAGTAGTGTTGTGTTACATAGCCAGTACTGTTGATAGATGAATATTTTTCTGGGCTTTTACATCTCCCCAAATCCCCATAGTGAAATACCTAAATCGGTGTATTGTGTCCCCCTACAAACACCAGTCTCTGCTCAGTGTTACTGTGACTATACTCGACAAGCAGGTTTTCATGGACTTAATAGAGCTGTCAGTCACGGAGGAAGAGGGAGGCGTTAAGGAGAAGAAGGGCGCTCCTTGTTCTGCTGTGAGGGGTGAGGGAAGGCGTACAAGGGTGCAGGGCTGGTTGGCGGGGGGAAGAGTTGTCCTCCCTCACACATTCCGAAGTTATAACCTCATTTCCTGGGTCACCCAGTGTTCAGGGAGTCTCCGAGGTTACAGATGACATC